CGATAGCTACTAATAACGAACAGAAATCCTCGCAGAAATCAGTCTCAAAGTAATAAATATTTGCCCGAAAAATAGAAATCAAACCTAGAATTGTTATTTGTTGAGAATATTGAATGGCCCATCTTTGTTTGTTGTTGAAAACATGACGCAATCAAAATATTAAAGTAACAACAGTTGATTGGCTTCCTTGTTTTTACCGACTTAGCTACTCTTGTGCAAAAGGATATTAAATTTTCAATTCTCGTTCGAAGTTGGTATTTAGCATCACTTTAATACAGACAGTTCTTTAATATTGATCCTTTCTCACACGAAATATTTATATGCGGCGATGGATGGTTTGATTTCTATTTTTCGGGGAAATATTTATTATTTTGAGACTGATTTCTGCGAAGATTTCTGTTCGTTATTAGTAGCTATCGGTCAGAAAGGCACGTTTTACGCAATAATTATTGCAGCAATACTTTCCACCCCCCGGTATTTTTTTTCCGAATTTTTAACAAATTAAGAATTTTTAGTGTTCCGGTGTTCCGGAATGATGCTTTTCCGGTGTTCCGTGTTCCGGTGTTCCGTTGTTCCGGTGTTCCTGGTTTTACTAATAGCCACAAAATTCCGGAATTCGCTGAGTTCTGAGCCCGAGTTTGACTAATGGTCGCGTGTCGCGGGTAAAAAGTCGCGGGTAAAATGTCGCGTGTCGCGGGTAAAAAGTCGCGGGTCGCGGGTAAAATGTCGCTGGTCGCGGGTAAAAAGTCGCGGGTCGTAAAAAAGCTCTAAACAGTGTATTTTATTGAGTCGCGGGTTGAATAAAGTGTGTAAAAATCACATTAACATATTTTTTTATCAATAGTTGTTCGAAGATGTTATGGCTGCAATTGCGAGTTTCTAGATAAATATAGATATCAGTATATATATATCAGTATTTGTAACTTTACACTAATCTGTCCTGATGATGACTAAAATATAGTCGAAACGTAGATTCATTAAAGCTACAAAATGTTATTTGGAGTTACTGTCCTTTTGTATTTTATTAAAATACTCAGTGGTTCCCGTAACTATATAACATTATTGTAAAGCACGTTGATAGACGGTAGTGCAAAAGGATCCTGTTACACATTCCTATGTTTTTTTTTATTTATTTATTTATTTGTTTATAAACTTAGCCGCCAAAAATTTATACAACGACAACGGCGCAGGTACATCAACACAGCGTCAGCCAATTACGTTGATGCCCTGGTTCTACAGACAGTACTAACAATACATCCACTCGAACTCGAAACGTACACAACACATACATACATACATACATACATCAACTTTATTTAAACACGGAAAATCATCAGTATAGTTATTTACAAAAATATTAAAATATTTTAAAAGGAGCAAAAAGAAATATAGATACTGTTCTACCTGATTGCCGTGTGGGAGTCAGATCGATTATTTATTAAGAAGGCTTCTAAACCTGTCTTAAAGGCAGCGAGAGAGGTTACTGATCTAAGAGATTCTGGCAGGCCATTCCATAAAGAGGCTCCACTGTAACTGAAGGAGCGTTTCAAATAATCTGTGCGTGGTTTTGGGACATAAAGTTTACCATAAGAATCTCTCAGGTTATAAACACTCTCACTAGGAGAAAACATCTCTTGTAAATAGAATGGTGTATGTTTATTAATAGTATTAAACATGAGGATTGCCTTTTGCTTTAATCGCTTAGTGGACAATGATTCCCAATTAAGTTCTCCAAGAAGAGAACTTGATGAAATATCATAAGATGAACGGGTAATAACACGGGCGGCCCTATTCTGTAATTTTTGTAATTTTTCGCTTTGCTTTTTACCTAGGCCATCCCAAACAGGGGCACAATAGGAAAAATAGGGCTCCACCAAACTTTAGTAAACTCGAATTGCAGTTTCTGTGGTAATAAAATCTCTCATTCGTTTGAGAGCGCCGATACCCGAAGAGACTTTTTTGGTGATATTATCAACATGATATTTCCAAGTCAAGTTCTCATCAATTGTTAAACCTAATGACTTAGACTTCAGCACTCTATTAATATGTTTATTGTTAACACATACTTCCACATTCTGATTATCAAAGGTTGAAAGTCTTTGACGAGATCCAATAATCATAAATTCAGTCTTGGCAATATTTAAACTTAACTTATTTGCCTCTAGCCATGTGTTTAAATTAGCTATTTCAGCATTCATAAGATTTTCTAGCTCAGAAAGATTATTACTTTGCATGCTGATGTTCGTATCATCAGCATACATTCTAGGTAAACCCTCGTTCAAGCAGTTAGGCAAGTCATTGATATAGATCAAAAACAGAAGTGGGCCTATAATAGAGCCTTGCGGAACTCCAGGGGAGATAGAACGACTACCAGAGAGTTTGCCATTTACGTAGCATTTCTGTTTTCGATTGTTTAAATAGGAATTAAACCACGATAGCGCATTGTCATCCACACCATAACACTTGAGTTTACGTATAAGAATTTCGTGATCAATTGTATCGAAAGCTTTCTTTAGGTCAATGAAGATCACTTCGTTAAGCAAACCCTTATCAATATTTACGCACCAGTTATTACTCGACTCTAATAAAGCTGTAACGGTACTATATGATGCTCGAAACCCTGACTGATAGTTCGACAGTAAGTTGTTACTTGTCAGATAGGAGTAAAATTGGTCATATCTATCTATTTACATATAATTTCAGTTCAAAGTCCACATTAGCCATCAAGGCTAGTCCTAGAAACAACAGTTCTTGAACGTTTTTAATGATCTTGCTAGATGGCACTTGGGACATATTGTTTTCCATGACTTGGGGTGATCTTTATCGAAGGTGGTCTTGGTGGCAGTAAGGTAATATTGGGAAAGGAGGAATTTAAATCGATGGTATGAAATCTCTGGTAGACGTAATTCATCGGGAAGAGTGTTCCATATCCGTGAAGCTCTAACAGCATAACTGTTCTGATAGCAGAGTGTCTTAGTTTTTGGTATATGATATGTCACAAGGGTGGTATTTTGTGACTGTAGGTTCATCCTTAATTTGTTGTTTTGTTCTGGGAGGATATTGAGGTCAGATGAAATAAATCCACGTGTAAGTTTGAATAAAAGGAGAACGTCCATATATTCTTATTATTATTATTATTATTATAAATTTCCAAACTAGCAGTAACAACTGAATTACTTTGGAATTACAGGGTATAAGAACATAGGTATTTAATCTATTCTATATTTACAGGTAAAAATAGGTAAGTTAGATAAAAATAACGATAATAGTCTAAAGTTTACTTATTATTATAAGCACGAGACGCAGCAGGAATGAAACTGTTCGAAAAACGTTCAGTTCTACACCTAGGTACTAATAAGTTGGGATAAGACCTCAGATTATAAGTTTGAAGACTTTTAGGCGGTACCAGTAGCTCAGTGGTAACAAGTTTAAGGCCAACAATCTTGATTTATAGCAAGTGTCAGTTTCAAAAGATAAAGCCAAGATGAATTTAGTTGCCCTCCTCTGAACATTTTACAATTCACCACACATGCTTACGGTTTGTGGGCTCCATACCTGTGACGCATAGGCCAGGTGAGATCGGACTAATGCCAGATATAAACTACGTCTAGTGCTTGCATTTCTAACATGAACTGTCGAACGTTTCAGCATGCCAAGCATACGGTTCGCTTTGGTAATCTTCTCGTGTATGTGGATAGTCCATGTAAGGTCAGAAGAAACTGTCACTCCAAGGTCTTTCTGACTGGGAACGTGCTGCAAAGCTTGGGCATCGATGACGTATTCAGCAACGATTGGGTAGCGTTTTCTGGTGATACTAAAGACTTTGCATTTCTCTGCAATGAAATTCGGTCGCCAACTATGCGCCCTGTTCTGCACATTTTTAAATTCCGTGTTTAGGTTTCTTGCATCGTTTATAGTCCTGATTTTAGTAATACATATTACCATCCAATTTCTGCCATATCAGGCGTAAAAATTCGCTATTCAGTGGCTCAGTGCGTGTTGTCGTCAAGCCTCTGCGCATCGATCAGTACTTTCTAGAAACAAGTGCTAGAGAACACTACAGCGACTTAAATATCCTGGTTGTTGGTGAATCATAATGTACTTTTATAATGTCCTAGCATGGATATATCTATTATTTGTGATACTATATGGTTGTTTTTAAATTGGTATAGGCTGATTGTAATAGTAGTGGTAAACTGAATTTATTTCTACCAAAGTCTTGTTTGTCTCTTTCAGAACATATTTTTTGATTAGAAGATTTTTGTCATGGTATAATTGAAATTATTCTTTCAAGTTTTAGGCTTCTGGCACGTTTATATAGAACAATTAAATCATGAAAAAAGGCTCTTGGGCAATATTTCGTATTGAAGCAATCCTATATAGTTGTTTACTAAATGACAACGTGATTTTTACACACTTTATTCAACCCGCGACTCAATAAAATACACGGTTTGGAGCTCTTTTACGACCCGCGACTTTTTATCCGCGACATTTTACCCGCGACATTCAGTACCCGCGACACGCGACCATTAGTCAAACTCATTAAATCATGACAAAAGGCTCTTGGGCAATATTTCGTATTGAAGCAATCCTATATAGTTGTTTACTAAATGATAACGTGATTTTTACACACTTTATTCAACCCGCGACTCAATAAAATACACGGTTTGGAGCTTTTTTACGACCCGCGACTTTTTACCCGCGACATTTTACCCGCGACCCGCGACATTGTAGAAAACTTCATGTTATTATTGGATAATTGGTTTTGGGGTCACGAGGGTTGACAGCCTGTGCGCAGGCTAGCACATGTGTTGTTGGGCGGTGAGTAACAATTCGAT